TATTAAGGTCAGCAGGATCTCTGCCCCTTCAGGTCCAGGCCTGGAGTGCTTTCAGCTGATGTGGAACCAACAGGACACGGTGGGAATCAGTCTGGTGTACTGTGCCTCCGTGACCCAGAGAATATGATCTGAAGGTAGCAAACCTTACGTCTTCCACCTTGTCATAGTCGGATCATCACCTGTTGAGATTTGGATTTTGTACAATGGTGTCCCTCTGTGAGGTGGGTGGACCTATTAGAATGATCTACCCCCCCAAAAATAATGAAAGCAGCTGGCCTCCAGAATGTTCTTTTGGGTTTTCCAGCTGATCTGGCTTGTGTTCCTGTTGAAGCCCAGGTCACTGTACATGCATTCAGTTACCTGGGCTAAAACATTTCTAGCCACCTACTTCATTGCAGAGCCTGACACTCATCTTGGTTTATGGAAGAGCTAAGGTGATGAAGCAATTAAGAAGATAGCTAGAGAGCAGATAAGATGAGAGCATTCCCTCAGAATACAACTTGGCTGCAGTCCGGGAGCTGTCCTACAAATACTGTAAATTACTTAAGGTGACAAAAAGAGACTACAACACCAAATTTATTAACATAGCCTCCAACCAACAGGAGAAACTCTTCCAGGTAGTCTGCTGCCTTACAAATGCTAGACAGATGCAAACATTACAACCAAATATAGAGAAATGCAACCCATTTCAAATCCAAAACTGAATGCATCCATCAGGACGTTGACTCCTTATTTATCTCAGTAGATTAGACTTTCCCTTCACGTATTGCTGCCTTGTCATGGTGAAGGTACTTCAGTAATTCAGAGAAGCTGTGGGCTATGCCATGCAGGGACACCCAATACGGACAGGTCACAGTGGAGAGTTCTGACTAAACACAATCCATCTCAAGCAGGAACTGGCAAATCACTCTAGTATCTTTGCCAATAAAACTCCATGGGCAGAAACAAAAGACTAAAAGATATGATGCTGAAAGATGAGCCCCTCAGGTCAGAAGGCGTGCTACTGAGGAAGAGAGGGAGGACAAGTACAAGTAGCTCCAGAGCTAATGAAGTGGTTGGGCCAAAACCGAAAGGACGCTCAGTTGTGGATGTTCATGGAAGTGAAAGGAAAGTCCGATGCTGCAAAGAAAAAAAGCTGCATAGGAACCTGGAATGTAAGATCTATGAACCTTGGTAAGCTGGATGTGGTCAAATAGGAGATGGCAAGAATAAACATTGACATCCTGGGTGTCAGTGAACTAAAATGGATGGGAATGGGTGGATTCAGTTCAGACGATTAGCATGTCTACTATTGTGGGCAAGAATCCTGCAGAAGAAAAGGAGTAGCCCTCATAGTCAACAAAAGAGTGCAAGGTTATGCTCAAAATCCATCAAGGTAGGCTTCAGCAGTATGTGGACCGAGAGCTCCCAGAATTACAAGCTGGATTTCAAAGGGCCAGAGGAACTAGAGACCAAATTACTAACATGTGCTGGATTATGGAGAAAGCCAGAGAGATCTAGAAAAATATCTACTTCTGCTTCATTGACTACACAAAAGACTTTGACTGTGTGGATCACAGCAAACGATGGCAAGTTCTTAAAGAAATGGGAGTGCCTGACCACCTTATCTATCTCCTGAGAAATCTATATATATTGTCTCCCCCCACTTATTTAATTTATATGCAGAATACATCACACGAAAGGCTGGACTGGATGAATCCCAAACCAGAATTAAGATTGCCGGAAGAAATATCAACAACGTCAGATATGCAGATGATACCACTCCGATGGCAGAAAATGAGGAGGAATTAAATAACTTCTTAATGAGGGTGAAAGAGGACAGTGCCAAAAACAGTCTGAAGCTCAGCATAAAAAAAAAAAACTAATATCATTGCCACTGGTCCAATAGCTTCCTGGCAAATAGAAAGGGAAGATATGGAGGCCCTGACAGATTTTACCTTCTTGGGCTCCATGATCACTGCAGATAGTGACAGCAGCCACGAAATTAAAAGATACTTGCTTCTTGGGAGGAAAGCGATGACAAACCTCGACAGCATCTTAAAAAGTAGAGACATCACCTTGCCGACAAAGGTCCACATAGTCAAAGCTATGGTTTTTCCAGTAGCGATGTATGAAAGTTAGAGCTGGACCATAAAGAACGCTGACCAAGAAAGAATTGATGCTTTTGAGTTGTGGTGCTGGAGGAGACTCTTGAGAGTCCCCTGGACTACAAAGAGATAAAACCTATCAATTCAAGAGGAAATCAACCCTGAGTGCTCACTGGAAGGACAGATCCTGAAGCTGAGGCTCCAATACTTTGACCATCTCATGAGAAGAGAAGACTCCCTGGAAAAGACCCTGGTGTTAGGAAAGTGCAAAGGCAAGAGGAGAAGTGGACGACAGAGGATGAGATGGTTGGACAGTGTCATTGGAGTCAACATGAATTTGACCCAACTCTGGGAGGCAGTGGAAAACAGGAGGGCCTGGCGTGCTCTGGTCCATGGGGTCACAAAGAGTCGGACGTGACTAAACGACTAAACAAGAACAACAACAAGCTTGAAGTATAACTAAGCAGCCTTCTTGATGTCTTTTCTCAAGCCATAGGACTCCTGAATAGGGAGGCAAAGCTAGTTCCCTCCCCTTTTGTCAGTCACCTTGCACAAGCAGACCTTTCGATGCAGGCAAACCTTTGACAACCTCATGTAAAAGAGGTATTTGCTTCCTACTACCTAGTACAAAGCCAGCAGAATCCATTCTGAAGTAACTAGGCATGAGTACCACAGCTCTAAAGATGTCTGGGAAACAGTACCTTCTTGTCTGTCTTTTGTTTTATCAAACATCATCCACTGCCCTTATGGTTATTCTTACCCTAAGGTAAAGGTAAAGGTTCCCCTTGACAATTTTTGTCCAGTCGTGTTCGACTCTAGGGGGCGGTGCTCATCCCCGTTTCCAAGCCACAGAACCAGCGTTTTGTCCAAAGACAATCTTCCGTGGTCACATGGCCGGTGAGACTTAGACACGGAACGCTGTTACCTTCCCACCGAGGTGGTCCCCATTTATCTACTCGAATTTGCATGCTTTCGAACCGCTAGGTTGGCGGGAGCTGGGACAAGCGACAGGAGCTCACTCCGTCGCGTGGATTCGATCTTACGACTGCTGGTCTTCTGACCCTGCAGCACAGGCTTCTGAGGTTTAGCCCGCAGTGCCACCACGTCCCATTCTTACCCTACCAATAGTATTGTTCTTCACAGGCTGTGAAATTGTACAGAAATTCTGTTCTTTCTGTTTAGGCAAGATTTCTATCCTGTGGACGTTTCATTCAAGCACAGATGACAATTATCTTTCTTTGGAATTTGTATTAATAAATTGTATTGATCCCATTATCAGGAATGTTGTTTTTGCTGCAATGAACTAGAGACTTTACAGGCCACTGGAAATGCAATGTACAGTTTGACAGAACAAAATGCTATTAAAGTCAACTCCGGACCAGAGAAATTAAAATTGGTTCCTTCCCTTTTGTCAGTCCACCTGCTCAAACAAACCTTTCGTTTCAAGCAAACTTTAAATAACCTCACATTGTTATCTACTTCCTGTTCTCCAGTACAAACCCAGTAGAATCCATTCTGAATGGTTTGAGTACTGCATCCAAAATAAGCACCTGGCCATGACATCACGGTATTCCTGGAACTGCTAAGGGTGTCAATTCACTTTCTCCCTGCAAAGTTATGGAGACAGGCTGGATCTTGCAAGGGGCTCAAATTCTTCCCTTTGTTGGCTGACAGGCATGCCTAGAGTACAGTCCTCTACCAGAACAGGAAATCCAAATAGGTGCTCTGTACAGAACTGCAGCCCAAAAAGTGTTGCAAGTGGGTGCCAGTGACACATTTAAACCCAAATACATTAACTTCAAGTTTCAAGATATTTCTATATTTCACCATTAATATTGCCAACAGCAAAAGATGCCAGTTAAATCCACTTAAAAAACAAATCAAAATACTTTCAGGGTCTTGCTTATGCCACCACTCTATGACAAAATTTTCAAGTTCAACACACAAGTTTTTTTCCCAGGCTTTCCATGAAAAATATTTTTTATCTGTGTTGGCAAGAATCCTGTTTATGAGAAAAGAGTACGCATTCAGCTACTTAAGGAGCAATCAAACAAATCAACGAGGCACTGAAATTCATGCCAACTGTGTAAGAGCACTGCCAATGCCAACTTCATCATGAATTCAGCCCTACTGCTAGGAAGAAAATAAAGAAGCAGCTCACATCTTTTCAGACCCAGACATGGCACAATACAAACTTGAGAGGAGGACAAATTTCCTCTGTTCTGTCACAACAGATGGCCTGAACACAAGGATCTTGAGGAAGAAAACAGCAGTATTGATTGTTAGCATCATTATCTCAGCAGGTTGCTCCTTTCTGCAGACAGTGATGTTCAACACTCTCAAAGCCAACAATATTTTAGCAAATCAAAATCGTGACTGAGTGCGGTCACATCTGCTTCCCTGCCTGCTCCATGAGACCATGCTCCTTTTAAGTCACCTCCTGTGCTGGTGGACCCCACGCTCATTCCGTCCCATTCGTCCTGGAGGCAGGCACCCAACCTACAGGCAAACCAGGAAAACTTCTGTCCATCTCGGAGGTTATCCATTTCAAATGCGTCTCCCCTATATTAGGAAACTGAACGGCTCACCACGCAGAAAGGTGAGCGCCATCAGCACCAGACTTCCACTCATTGCAAAACCAAAGGACAGCAAAGCCAAGCATGACCAATAGCTACATGTTGCTGTTCCATGAACACATTCAGCTAACTACAACCCGAGTATTCATAGTAACAAACCTTTCCACGGAAAAGAAGATGAAACTCCTTAAAACAAATCCTCAGCCACCAGTTGCTAGGTCTTTGTTTCCGAAAATAATACTAAATGGAAATCCCACCCCCCAGGGAATAAAAATTACAAAAGGTCATGTCTTATTAAATATGTGGCGCTCCTTTGCATCGCAAGAGCCTCGAGTACCTTAGCGATTTCGCTCACCAAAGGACCCGTTCTTGAAAAGTAGCGCACGGCGCGCGGTGGTGCTGCAGCCTGGAGAGAGGATTCGGATCAGGGGTTCCAAGATTAGGATCGAGGATTTCTCACCACCACCACCACCAACCACCACGACCGCGCCTCCCAACCTGCCGATTTGAACTGGCGCCGGCGAAACGATCGCAAGGGCAGAGGGGAAAGTCCTAGCATCCGAGCGGGGATAAGCGCCTTCCTGCCTACCCACTCGCCCCGCCTGCCAATCAGTTCCCCGCCCAGGGCGTGCGGGTGCCGAGATCCACGGGACTTGCTGGTGATTTACTCACGCAGGGCTCTGGCTGGTTGGCTGGCTGGTTGGCTGGCCGGCAGGCGGGCGGGCGGGCTCCCTGTTTGTTGCTGTTGCTACTGCTGCCGCCGCCGCCGCTTCTGGCCGTGGCCCAGAGAGAGAAGCAGCAGCAGCACCGTCGTTGCCTGGGCGTCTGTCTGTGGCTCTCTCCTTGATTTGCCTTTGTTACTGCCCCGGCATCCCGGCGTTGAAAAGGCTCCCGTGCAGCAGCCGCCCCAGCTGCAGACGCCTGGCGCAGCTCCCCTGCACAAAGGGTTGGCCCCCGGCGCGACCAGCCGCCCGCCCGGACAACGGGGGGACCCCCATGGCGTCGGTTTGAAAAAAAAAAGGAATTAAACCCACGCCGTGCAGCACCCAGCTGCAGACGCCTGGCGCAGCTCCCCCGCACAAAGGGCTGTCCCCCGGCGCGACCAGCCGCCCGCCCGGACAACGGGGGGACCCCCATGGCGTCGGTTTGAAAAAAAAAGGAATTAAACCCACACAAACCAAACGAAAAATAAGAATATAAGATAAATCCCAGCCTGGCTGCAGAAGAGGAGGGCAGCGGTGGGCTGCCGGGTGGGCGGGCTGTCTCTGTGTGTGTGTG